ATAAATTGTGTTAATTATAAATACAGTGGTTAAATTTAAAAAAACATTTCTATTGCTTTTTGTTTTAAAAAAGGTTATAAAAATGTCAATAATTATCGATACCGAACGATATGAAACATTCTATCGACGATAAATTTTTTAGCTATATCGCCCAGCCCTAGACTCTACTAACCAAAAGGATGTACCAGCAGTTCAAGAACAATTCCCTGTCTACCTGAAGATAGACTTTAAATGAGACACCCACCTATAGCATAAACAAAAATGTAACAATGAAGAGAGAGCTGCAATACAACCTAAAACACACCACTCATTTCACCTTGCAACTGAATAAAAATGTGATCAATAAAAATAATAAAAAAGTGATCAAATATACCAAGACTTCCTATTACATATCAGAATTTATCAGACAAAAGTGTGGCAGAATGGGTTTCTTCATTACCTGTAGGGGGTGCTGGTTGAATGGTGACTGGTGGAGATTTCACTACAGGCAGAACGGTAGTCTGGAAAGGCTGGATGATGATGGTCTTATTCTGAAGGGGGGCTGCAGCATGGGAGATGGGCACAGTGGTAATGAGTGGTTTAGGCTGAATGGAAACCTTGGAGCTAAACTGAATGAGTCTCTTCGCTGGTTGGAGAGGCTTTGCTGTGTGAACAAATGTATCATCTGATTACAAATAGAAGAAGACTAGAAAAATTATTCAAATAAGGAAATTAATGTACTTCACCTACCTTTTGACTGACTGGTCCTCTTGGAAGGCTTCCTCTCAGCAGGTGCCTCAGCAAAGCTGCTTGAGTCAGAGCAGACAGACAGCGGAGAGGGCTGAGAATGCCAGGAGACTGGAGACAGTGCCTCATCCTTAAAAAACGACATAGAAAATATGAAAAAAAAAATGTAAAGAGTGTAGCAGCATAGGGTAGGAAAATCATGAAAAGCCGTCAGAGCCCTTACATAGAAAAAAGAGAACTGAAAGTGCACTCAAGCATGGGAATACTGGGGTGTGAATCCAGATGGTCTAGAAGTCTACATACAGTATCATTACTTAACAGTTTGCACATATCAAACGACTGATCAGTTAAGCCATAAAAAGCTACAGAACACCTATGATACCACCCACTACTACCTTATGTTTTAATGCGTATTCAATTATTTCCTTGCTGGTTATAACCGGTCATGTTTCTTTAAACATGTTAAAAATAGTTCAACTTTTAAAATGCATCTAGTCCCCTGCATTTAGTTTCATTCACCCATCCATCTACTTTAGAAAGCAAGAGCGTGCTTCCTGTACGTGTGTACGTCCCTTTACAGGTTGTTGCATCATTCAGAACAACGTGTGTTAACATTCAGTATGTGTTATGCAAACTACAACAAACATTTTGGCATGTTAAACAATACACTGACTTCAACCACTTAGCTTTTTAGTTTCCTTCTCATCAAGACTGTGAAGTGACACTGAGATTCAAGTGTTCAGGTTTTTGATAAAACAATGTGCATTTGTCAGTGATATTTCAGTTCTTTGAAACCTTGAAAGGGACACTAGGTGATTTTGAACAGTCAACACACATATTACAAAATAAGACTTGACACTTCTCAGTGTGAGATTAATTAGTTTGATGATGCGATGAGAGCCGATTAAGGAATTCGTTAACACACTGGACTCTTAATTAGACACCTAATTCACATGGGTGTATGTGTGTGTCTGCCCTATTGATCTCTGAACTACAGCAGCCGGCAAGACCAGTGAAGCTCAAACACACTTCATCTGTGCCTCTGACTGATTAAGTCAACAAATAAAGACAAAAAACAGAAATGTAGTTGTGTGTATGTAACAAAAACAAATTTATAAAATAAACTATATAAATATTATAATATATAAGATACACCAAATATTATTTTTATAAAATTTTGTGTCTCATTTGATATTACACTATATATATATATATATATAGAGATATAGATATAGATAGATAGATGTAAAAAATAAATAAATAAATTGCATGCAGGTTAGTTTCTCTGTGATTGTAAACAGCGTAGAGTTCAAAAACACTGGACATTTTTCAAATCACACCTTGACAAATAAGATGCAAATTTCAGTGGGTAGAAATGCTAAAGGACTGCGTATTTGTTTTGGGGTGGAGTTTGACTCACATGTGTGGAGCACGGTGAGTTGGGCTCCACTGACGCAGGTGAGGACACTGAACTTAGTGTGTGGTTTGGTGACAGTGAGTCCACTGTTACATCATTTGATATTACACTATATATATATATATATATATAGAGATATAGATATAGATAGATAGATGTAAAAAATAAATAAATAAATTGCATGCAGGTTAGTTTCTCTGTGATTGTAAACAGCGTAGAGTTCAAAAACACTGGACATTTTTCAAATCACACCTTGACAAATAAGATGCAAATTTCAGTGGGTAGAAATGCTAAAGGACTGCGTATTTGTTTTGGGGTGGAGTTTGACTCACATGTGTGGAGCACGGTGAGTTGGGCTCCACTGACGCAGGTGAGGACACTGAACTTAGTGTGTGGTTTGGTGACAGTGAGTCCACTGTTACATCACCATCTGTGAGAGCAGAAAAGGACAGAAATGCTTTCATACATTTCGCTTTGGTAATACCGGTACTTGAAATGTTTCTCTTAAATATCGAATTACTTTGAATTCATTGCTGCTATAGACATTCAGGAACATTTGAAAAGAGTGTCCAGTCCACTGAAAACTTAAAATTAGTACCTGATCGTGGGCTACCGTTTTCTCTCCAGCCATTTGAGTTCCACGTTGGGGGCTCAATGTCAAAGTTCAGGTCAGGAACAGAGGTGCCCTAATAGAGGGTAGATCCAAAATGCTTTTGATTTATGCTTAAATTGCTTACATTTTCTACAAATCTCTGGTTAAAGCTACGGTCAAACCAAAAAAAAAAAAAAAGCAATAAAAAAAATTGTCAGTCTTTAAAAGACACGATTCGATTTTCAAAATGCAATTTGAAAAAAGAAAAATTAAACCCATATGTGATAAACATGTAACATATTTTGCCAGATTGTCTTTGCAGGGGTTTGACTCACATAGCCTACACTCTCCACCAGAGCCTCCAGAAACTCGTCAGCATCCCCAAAATCCTCCAGCTCATCAAACAAACTGATATCTACAGTAAAAGACATTGTTGTGAACTTAAGTGCAGCCGAAGGCAGTGATGCACAACAAAGAAGTAAAGCCAACAAACAACGTGCTGAAAGCATGAGAGCAAGACAGGGAGTCAAAAAAGTATTAATTTCATAATCTTCTTTTGAGTTGTGGGTTCCTAACCAGGTCAAACTACCTGAAACCATTCACCCTGAGGTGTGATGTAACAAGCAATTTGGTATCAATTCCAGTTTCTTTTATATGTTAACCAAACCCTAACTGACACACTGTAATTTATTAGTTTAACTAGACCTGTGTTATTCACAATACGATATACTATACGAATATGAATATGAATATTATTTAAATATGAATGTATAAAGTATAACCCATAAACAAATGTGTAATGACACAAAGTTAAATAAACGAAGTTGTATTTGTCATATTCTACTAATATTTCATATTTATTTTCATGTTTATAATTTTGATTAAACTACATTTTAAAAATGAAGCCATAAAAACAACACTACGGATGAGCAGGAGACAGGGTCAGTTATCTACAGCACATTGAAAACGACTACATACAAGTCCTCTTTACGTATAGACACTTTACTACAAGTAAATATAGAAGTTGGCGTTTATCGCGAGCAGCACGCGCTGTCATGGATATTCCTAGAAAGTGTATCTTACCCCACTCTCCATCCTGATCGATGGAAATATCCCCCGCTTCCTTATTCATCATCGATGAATTCACGAAATCTAACATCAAATCTGACGACATTATGCCATGAACACATTAGTAAGGATTAAAAGTGAGTCGGATGATGATGAGGATTATCGCTGAGTTTTGTGTGGAGTTGTAAACACACGCATTTCCCGATTCTGATGAAACTATATAACAATAATGCAGCAAGTACACGTCTAGTTTGACGGTAACTCTACGGGTGCCGGAGTGTTCTTCTTCTTTTTTCTTGGCTTTTGCAACTTGTAATTATTGCATATCGCCACCTACTGTACAGGAGTGCGTAGAGGGACTTCGCAGATACATTACTTAGGAAAAAAAACAATTACACCAAACACCAACAGAAAAAAGAAAAATCCAAAGGGTTACCTTTTCGTTTTTAAATTCTTCTTATTAATCCAGTATTTTCAAGAAATATAAACAAAGCTTTGAATCGATTTCTTTCCATCCCTTGTTCTCTAAGAATATCTTCAATTTTATTTTCTTTTTCAATTTCCTGCCATTTCTGCCTGTATTCATGGTATTTATTGCATCTAAACAAGACGTTCTACATCTTCCTTGGTTTTGACATCTTGTACATAACCAATTACTCTTCCCTATTATCTGCAATGTATCATTCTATTCCTTCTATTCCTAGGTTTCTAATATTTAATAGTATATGTCTAGTTTCAATGATTAAATCTTCTCTAACTGAAAGACTGCTTTCTAAACTTTGTAAGCCTGTCATTGAGTCTGTACATATGACTGATTTAATTGGTTTATTTTCTTCTATCCATCTTAAGGCTGTAATTATCTGTTAATATGCTGTTTACATTTTCTGTAGCGTCTCAGTAAAGCCATGCTGTATGTCGGCACATATTGCAGTTTTCTACGTTTTTTAAGTTCAGTTTTATTAATAACATTGTAGATTGTAATTCATGTGTCCCATGCAGTTCCGTTTGTTGCAGTCATGATTCAACCAATGTAGAACCTAAATATAGGCCTAATTTGCATTCAGGCTAAACAGTACATCTCTTGCATTAATATTTGTGATCGTTGTAACAAAAACCAACACTTTTTCTTATGCGTGCTGTCGCTGACAAACCTGATATAGACATACACATAGGCGGAGGGTGAACCAACTCCAGGGTAAGGCTAAAAGCAGCCAAATCTATCAACTACAAACATCATAAACCTGTCTTTTTAGGCAAGAACCAGACATGGGTGTCATGTAGGCTAATAAAATATGTTTAATGGGACTGAATTTGTATTTAATGTGATTACAATTTAATTAAAACATTAGAAAATGATCATTATATAACGTTTCCTTCCCACGGTTATTCAAACGGCGAATGAATTATGTAGGCTACAGAAATGACATTATCACTAATTTTCATATATCGCACTCAAAAAAAAAAAAACTATTGTTTTAATCACTGAAGCTGTCTACACTGCGAACTGAATCCCTTACTTACATTGTACTGTACGTACATCTGCGCTTTGTTGTTTATGATGAGAGAATTCGCGGAATTCAGTCATCGAACGTGCGCGCATTCAACAAAGCTGATGAGTTTCAGCGATGACTCATCTGAACACCTCTGATTGGCCATTGCATTCCTAGGCTCAACAGAATCGTGTGTGATTGGTTATAATGCGCAACACTGTAAACACGCCTAAAACGAATTACGGTGCAACATGAGCAGATCTTAATTTAATACGCAGTCGACACTTTTTATTCATTTACACTTTGTTAGCAACAGACGTAATAGATTTTATTTGTTTGTGCAGGGGCATTTTTGTCCAATTTAGTGTCATTTTTGCCCCAAGACCCTGTGGCCAAGGGAAAGCCACACGCACGCACACACGTTCCGCCTATGGACATACATTATTTCCAGTGCGTTTTATTTGTAACTTCTGCTCACTTGTCGCCTCATAAGCCAAATCATCGGTTCACTCCTAATATAGCTCACTCATCTGTTCTTCTCAGGTCGTTACGGATTGGTTATATTCGATTCAATGACTCGGACCAATTCTGTCCGACTCCTGATTCAACTCTTCAGACCGGTTAGTGGAAAGTCCCTTTCATGGCTGATCAATTGAAAAGATCCGACTCAAAAGAACGATTCATTTGCCAAACCGACACCCTTCGTTTGCATTTGACAGGTAAATTATGATTAAATGTTTACATTGCGTTGAAGGTTTATATTAAAGTGTTCATGATCGATTTATTTTTATATCATATCTCTTTTTTTAAACCCAAGCTTTACACTGATTGCTGCTTTCAGATAAATTACTCGTTTAAATAGGCAAAACAATGAGCATGGGCATTTTATCACTTTAGCCTATTAGAGATAGTGTGGGCTATTTTCAAATATAGACATGTAGTTACTGCTTGAAAGCTGACACTTTGACATGTGTTACTAAGTCAAACTTGGCCACTGTATATCCTATTTAAAGCATCAATGTTGGATAAATGATACAAGATATGAAGCTTATTATGTATTCACACAGTAAGAATAATTGTAATTCTTTATTTGAGTGACAGTAGAACACAATAAAACAATTAGCAGGTACATGAGCTACTAATTATGTCAAAATGACAGTAGGAACTGAGCAAAACATGAAATGAAAAAAAAATAGGAATATTAAAACTGTTTTGTAAAAACCAACCATCTCATCTGGTCAACAGGTTGCTTATTCATAGGCTCTTCATATTTCTTATTAAGTTACTAAATGTCAGAGCAGCAGGTCACACTGGCTGGTTTGAAGATCTGGAACAGGTGTTCATAGCTATAATCTTGTTGGTCTTCCCAGGACATTGTCAGCTTAACCTGAGGTGGTCTACAACAATCTCCGCTCGATCTGACTCTCTTACATGCTTTACCCATGGCCCATTCTTGTGTTTCCAAAACTTAAACCTAAAGTTTTTATTTGAAATTTAGCCATCGCTTACTGAAAATGAAACATAATGTTCATAGACTGAGCGTGTATGGTTCAACAAGTCAGATTAAAACATTATTATCTTTTTGCCTTTTCTCACTGGTTTATGTGAACAATAGGTTTCGTTTCTATGGCAAAAACAACCATGTTAAGCATTATAAAAGTCATTACTTCTGAGCGTTTTTAGATAATAGCATCCAATGACAAACTCATTTAAATGAGAGGGTTTTGAGGCTTTTTCTGTTTCAGCCAATCATGAAGCAGCATGGTCTACCAGGTTAATTGTGTATAAACCCACCAGCCCCCTCCCACAAACAGTCTGAGGATTAACAGGTTAATGTAACACACTTGACGTGTACATCCATTTGGAATGGATTAGAGCTTTGACCACCATGTCTTTATGTTGCCACAGGAACTTGTTGGTTCAAAACCCTGCTTACTGCGCCAAACTTAGGTTTTCCCAAAGGTAAATTGACAAGCAGGCAAAAAAGGATAAACTTAGTTTGAGAGATCTTATATTTGAAGAAAAGCAGCGAGTAATGCAATAAAAGCAAAGCATATAGTATAATTTTAGAGCATTCTGGTGGAAAACTGATAAAGAACGATGTATATCTAAAACTGAAGGATTCCTGTCATCACAATTCCATAAAATCACTCCCACTCCTCAGTTTCTGTGCTCCAATTGCACTTGCATCTCTGTGGATGTTTTCACTGAAGAGAAAGCAGAGGTTTGAATAAAAATGGAGGTTAAGGATAGAAAAGAGCAGAAGAGAGTAAGCAAACAGACATTTCACAAGCATAGCCCTCTGCTCACTTTCGTCTTTTGTTTGTGTGATGGATGTCCTCTGAGATTGATGATGTTGAACGCAGTTGTTGAGCATTGTCTCCTCCAGGCGACAACAGAAGAGGATCACTTATCATCTCAGCTTGTGTGAGGGGGATTTGTGGAGGATTTGGAGAACATATGAGTGGAGTGTAGAGAAGAAGAACAGACTGGAGGGAGAGTATTTGCACACGGTTACCAGTTTCCAAATGGAAAGAAAATTCATAACATGCACGAGTGTCAGAGATATATGTTACAGTAAATCACACACTGACACAATCTTGCTGGTCTTCATCCTTTGGTTTGTATTTGTGTGGATGGTGACGAGTTTGCAGGTGGCCTAGGTCTGGTGTGCTGGGGGTGGGACATGGCCGGGACACATTGTTTGTCTGGATGGGTTTGTGAATACAAAGGGATTACTGCATACGATTTGGCTCACTGACAGCTCTGACTGTGAGTGTGTTTGTTAGTGTGTTAGAAAGAGTGTGGCTGATTATCTTTGAGATAAGGTGGCAAAAGAAACATGATGGAGGTTAAAAGAGGCAGAAAAAATAAAAACAACAATTTAAATGAGAGGGATAGTCCATCCAAAATTGAAAATTCTATCATGTACTCACCTTCATGTCATTCCCTGTATGACTTGTTTTCTTCTGTGGAACATAAAAGAAGATATTTGGAAGAATGTTGGTGACCGAAGGGTTTTGGTTCCAATTTGACTTCCATTACATGGACAAAATATACAATAGTCAGATGGGAACCGAAACTCTTTGGTTACTAACATTTTTCAAAATATCTTCTTTTGTTTTTCAATAGATAAAAGAAAGTCATACAGGTTTGGAATGACATGAGGATAAGTAAATGACAGAATACTCATTTTAGGGTGTACTATCCCATTAATAACTCAGAACAGATTGAGCAAAGTTTACTTTGAAAATGACAGAAAAATCCAGGGCTGTTTCTACGTCACCTGGTAGGTTAAATGTGTAATCAGTTAATTGACAAATGTTTAACATATTTTATTCACATATAGCATTTATAAAATTTATTATTAGCAGACAGTTATGCCACACGAAACTGAGTGTAACTTGATTTCTTTTCGTGTTTAACCCAAAAATGGCTTAAAAAGAAAAGAACAATAAGAGCAAAAAGGGGAGTAGGATATACAAATTGCAGGCCTTACAGCATGTGCCATCATTAAGCCCACACAAAGAGAGCAGTGACAAATGACCGTTTTAATTCTTCGGTTTGACTTTAATAAATTAACATGTTCTAATAGACTTAAGAAAGGGGGTTCAAACAGAAAGCTTTCATTAGATGGGTTGGGGAAAAAAGCCATTCATCTTGTTTACCATGGTGTTGTGTTCTTTAATAGGTCATTTACAATGAGGGGACAGAGTATGTGGGGGTTGTTGGATGGGATGGGCTTATCCTCAAACCTAGAGGGAGGGCCCTTGTGAAGTCACTGGTCATCTTGAGCACTAACCCCACACTAGTTCAAGACTGGTGAATGCTGGTGACTCCTGAATAACCTTCGGAGGTAGTGAGGGCTCACCCTTGTATGACCCCACACCATAGACTGTAAAAAAAAGATGGACGACGTGTCTCCTATTCCTTCCACTATAGAAAAGTGAAGCCAAAGCATCTCAGTATGGCCGCTGCCATCTTGAGTAAATGACGTCATTTGGAGCCAGCTAAAATCAAACTTATCACAAAAACGAACAATTTAACATATGTCAGCGTGATAACAACTACCTTAAATGACCGAAACCATCTTTTGGAAAATTGTATTGGAAGCTAAATTAATTTTTTTATTTTGACTCAAGTCCCATTCGTTTACATGTAGAGGGCGGGGTTTATGACCTGTACTGCAGCCAGCCACCAGGGGGCGATGAAAGAGCCCGCAGCTTCACTTTTCAGGACGTGTGACGCATACCCGCCCCACACTCTGAGAAACAGACTCTGGGGGGAATCACAAGGAGTCTTTGAGTCACCACACTGAAAATAAACGCATGTAAAAAGGCAGACAGACAGATCTCAATCACAAATATCATTTTATTCCTGTTTGTTAGTTCTTAATCTTGACATAACACAGGTTTGCATTAACAGTTAGACCATCGTTCATTCTTTTTTTTTTAAATCATGCTTTTCACTACAAATAACATTGCACATATTCATATGAATTTTCCACCTTGTATAAAAGTTGTTTTCTTAGATCGGGTTGGTAAATTGCTTAAATTCTACCCTTTGCCTGACTGAAACAATGCTATTTCTTTTGGCACACATTGTAAAAAATCAAACTGTTCAGTTGTTATCTCAAGGAGGAATTTGTACTTGATTTGGGCTGCATTTCCCACAAGCTTCAAGCCTAGTAAAAACGAATAGCACGTATGGTTAAGTATAGCCATTTGAAACTAAGGCTTACAATGCTTTTAGGAAACACAGCCCTGATTCTTTGAACTTTGATGTAACTACTTAGTCAAGTTTATTCAGTCATATTAAATAACATTTTATCTGACATTTTAAAGTTTTTTGTGTCCATCTTGATACTGTTAATTTTGATGGTTGAATGGTTTAGTAGCTACTGAAACCAAGGTTTTTGGTTCAGTTACAAGGAAATGCATAAAAAAAAGAAAATTTTTGTATGAAAGCATCTGTCAAATGCATAATTGTAAATGTAATCCAAATTGGTGTTCTTTGTTGCATGTGTGCAGATCATGTTATAAAGAACACTTTGTTATACCGTCATTGTTATACAGTTTGAATGTTATTCTGTAAAAAGTGTTGTACACATGTGCTGAAGTCATCTGCCTGTGTCTTATCTGATTGTTGTCGTTGGTGAAACCCCTCCTTCCGCCTCCCCCTGAGCGGGGCCCCGAGCCAGCCAGCAGCGCCGCAGAGTGTAGTTCACTCGGCCTGGGAAGAGGAATCGAGAGTAGTGGCGCGCGTCTCCAGGACAAGACCCAACAGTAAACTGACTCGGAATGGATACTCACGACACATATTTACATCTCCGTAAGTCGCCGTCTTTCTTAATTTCCTGTTGCTGCTCTTCTGTGTCATATTTGCGCAGTTGCCCGTGCTGTTTGTCTAAAATGTGCATGCCGCGAAAGCGTTAAAACAACTTCGCTGATGAACTTCAGACAGATTATAGTCCTATCAACCCGCGTGCGTTGACATCGGTCAGGTGATCGCGCCGCGGTTTACAGGCATGGTTGGCACTTCAGTTGCGTTTATGTAATCGATAGCCTTTAAAGCACGCCTGTTGTATCGGGATCGTTATTTATTGGTTTTGAGACGGGTTCCAGCCGGGTATAGCATGTACACTTCACATAGGAACGAGTGTGTGTATAGGCTTGTATTTCAGCGCAAACTTTGTATTTCAACGCTCGCGGCTCGTTTCAGGAATGAGTGCGAATGACATGTTATTTTAGGCAAAGTCAAAGACAACTCCAGCAAGTGGTGTTACAGTGTTGAGTGCAAGTCATAAAACGCACTCATATAAAGAGTTGCCAATTTGTCACGCCTAATGAAAGTGCTTAATGCTGTTAAAGGGGTCATATGATGTTGCTAAAAGGAACATTATTATGTTTATTTGGTGTAATGAAATGTGTTTATGCGGTTTAAGGTTCAAAAAACACATTATTTTCCACATACTGTACATTATTGTTTCTCCTCTATGCCCCGCCTTTCTGAAACGGTCGATTTTTGCAAAGCTCATCGGTCTGAAAAGCGAGGTGTGCTCTGATTGGCCAGCTATCCAGTGCGTTGTGATTGGCCGAATACCTCAAGCGTGTGAATGAAATGTTATACCCCTTACCATATTGTGATGCTGTGTCCCCATGCGCCGCGTAAACATAAAACCATGTCTGCATTTGTGATCGGAGAAATGACAAACAACAAGCACTACTCTACACTGCTCAAAACTAGCGTTTGAATCGTCAGTGGCAAATTCTTTAAATATGAAAACGGCCTTGCAGGCTGTGAGTCAGAACAGCCGGCACTGTAGTCTACTCTCCCAGGAAACAGCCCAGATAGCAAAATGACTCCGGAGCGGATCCGCCCCGGAGTCACCACAAGCTCCGGAACGGATCCGCAAAACGGGTCCGTATCGGAGTCCACTTGCACAGCGCAACGGATCCGGAACAGATAAGGATCCCTACCCGGATCCGCTAATAAAGGTTCATCCGGCCCGGATCCGATCCGGACCCGTTCATGAAGTAGCTCATCCGGCCCGGATCCGATCCGGACCCGTTGATAAAGAAACGGATCCGAACCGGATCCGATCAGGACCCGCTGATTAAGTAACTCATCCGGACCGGATCCGATCTGGACCCGTTCATTTAGTGGGTCTATACCTTATTTAAAATGTGTAATCTGGCTAAAACTAGCTATGGAAATACCTAAAATAGAGCCAACAAACATTATATAGACTAGACTGCTCTATAAAAGTGTAATATGTCTCCCTTTATTAATATTAATAAACCATAAAATCATTCAAACCTTGAAAATATCTAAACTTTCCTTGGCCAGTAATAATGAACCACTCT